TTTTTTTTTTTTTTTTTTTTTTTTTTTTTTTTTTTTTTTTACCAAAGTTGTAACCCCAGGGTACTCACTTCATAATCTGTTGTTATGATTGCATGTATGGTATCTAAAAGAAGAAAGTGCAGATGCTGGAAGTCTTGAAAATAGCATTATTTACTTGCTGTGTGTGTTGCTTAACTTGAACTTGAGCAAGCTGCCCTGTTTGATGGGAGAGAAGTTGCCTTATGTGGAACTGAGCAAGTTGCCCAACCCAGTGCAAAGAATGAAGGTTGCTTAGGAGACATGAAAAAGAACAGTTGTTGGCAGGTCATCCTAGAAGAGGGAGCAGGTGAACCTAAACAAATAGGCTGGAAAAGAACAGACCTGATAAAAATAATTTTACTTCAGTTGTTACAGATCAGACAAGTGCTGTGCAACCTGTTCCCAAATAAATTTTGTATGTGGGCTGGTGAAGGCTTTTAAAACCATTCAATCCAAACATTGCAGTATGTGCTAGTTCAACACTGGATGTAATCACACCTTTACTGAGCAAACATTACAGCCCAATTCAGTCTTATTTCATGTATTCACTAACTTGTTGTGAGGGGGCTCTGAGAAGCCAACATATTCTGTCAAATATTCTTTCAGTTTTACAGAATTAATATTCTAGATAGATGTTTTGACCGTGGACTCCCCTAAGGTGCTGGATGTCTGGTACCTTTGAAATGCCTAATAGTTTGGTAATGTTGATGCCATTGTGCTAAAATTAATAAGTGGCCTTGGAATAACTCTTGTAAATCACAGATTTAGTCTGAAGTAATTTTTTTCTTTCCACTTGCTTTTTCAGCTCACTCTTGAACTTGTTTAGAAATTGACTTTTCAGTTTTGAACTCACTGTTCTAGAAGCCTGCAGTGTGCTTTGAACCACAAAATGAATAAACTGTTTAGATTCAGACAATCCTTTAAAGAACAAAAAGTGATCAGGTGTCAAGCTTAGTCATTTTTCTAGAGGTGGAGGAATAATACATTTCCCATCTAAGGATGGGAGGAAAGAAACCAACAGAAGTAGAGACAAAAGAAGTAAAGATGCTACAAGAAAGGTCACTGTAGTGTCTTGAATGACATGGAGAAGACTGGTGAAGGCTGTTGAGAAAATTTCCAGCAATAAAAGAAACATTGAAACTGTGATTCAGATCTCTTGGCAGTGCAGTTTGGTGCAGTGTGGTGTGCTCCTGCAGGGAATCACTGATGTGCTCATTTTTTTTTTTCTTTCTTCAGTCTCCCACAGTCAAATCACTCGCTTGTATAGTCGCTTCACCAGCCTAGACAAAGGAGAAAATGGCACTCTTAGGTAGGTACTGACACTAATTTGTCTCTTTCTGTTGAAATGTCTTTAACGGTGGCTTGCTGTTGTGGGATGTGTGCATGTTTTTCTCATGTAGTGAATCACTGAG